TTAAGAAATTAATCAGAAGTCAAAAATCTCTCACTTTCAAATCCCAGATAAATTAGCTTCACTGGCAAATTCTACTGAACTTTCAGTAGAGCCAGTAGTGATACCATCATACCCAAAGTTTTTCAGAATGTATAAGTCTTATATAACCATAATTTCTGAAACCTGAGAAGAACAATGTGAGAAAAAACATTCAGGCTAATGTCATTCATGAACACATATGCAAACTAGTTAAACAAATAATTAGCCAATGGAATCCAGCAGGTTAGATTTAATTCAAGAGTATAAAATTGATTTGTCATTAGAAAATTAAAATACACCACAGTAACAAATTGGGAAAAAAATATATGAGCATCTCAGTAGATACACACACAAAAAGCATTTGACAAAATTCAACATTATTTTATGACAAGAACACTCTTTGCAAAATAAGAATAAAAGAATAGTCTATTAATCTAAAAAAGTTATCTGCCAAAAACAACTATAGCAAATATTCTATGTGTGAACTGCTGAATGCATTCCTTTTGAGATGGGAATGAGATAAGAATGCCTGAAATCACAACATCTATTCAACTTTGTACTGAAGGTTCTAGCTGTGCAGAAAAGCAAGGAAAAGAAATCAGAACAGTTGGAAAGATCTGGAGGTAACCTGTGTCACAGTGGTTGTCTCAGCATAACAGTAGAATTATGACTGATGTGCATTTCCTTATTATATTTTTTATGCTTTCAAGTTTTTCTATATTAAACACATTGCTTTCAGAATCATTAAAACCTTATGGAGTAAACAATGAAAATGACACCTCTCTCACAAAATGTGGGATCTCAGTAATCTCTGCACTTCCTCTGATGGGCTTCACTCTGTCATTCAAGTGCTTTTCACTGTGGCTACCAGAAGTTAATTTCTGGAGCACAAGGTATCCCAGGCTTTTCAGAATAGACCCTGATAAAAATGAAATCAAAACCACTGACTTGGTTCTTGGACATGAATAGTATTGCCAAGTCCTTGATTTTGCTGCTCAAATGGGAACTGTCAGTTAGAGAGGGAAAGGGACAGAAGGGGCAGAGAGTGATGAATTGAGGTGTCTTGCAGTCTCTCTAGTTCGAATCACAAGATACCAAGAATTTGGAACTGTAGATATCTTTTGCAGGTCATCTACAAATGTTCCTTCTCTGATTTAAAGTTATAATTGGAGGAAGTTAACTGTAAGGCCATGGGAAGTTATAGGGGAGGAAGGGAAGGCAAAACTATAACCTAATAAATTAAGAGGCTGGGTTCTGACATCCAACTTACTCATTGCATGACCTTGTACAAGTTACTGAATCTCTCCATGCCTCAGTTTCCTTCTTTGCGGGGTTGTTATAAAGATTAAATGAGATAATATATGTGAAGTGCTTAGCACAGAGCCCAGCTCATCAAAAGCACTCAGTGAACAGTAGCTATTCTGCAAGAGGCACTCACCAGCATCAAAGTAGATGCTGACATAGGACATGCGACTGGTGAGCACTCTCCTAGGAGCTTCAAATATATTGACTATTTAACATGGTATCTAATCCTCATAATACCTGGGAATTAAATGTTATTATCCTCAGTTTACATGTTCATAGCATCATTTTCCCCAATAATCAAAAGGTGGAAGGAACCCAAGTGTCCATCAACAGAGAAATGGATAAACAAAATGTGATGTGTATATATATACACATACATACACAATGGAATGTCATTCAGCCTTAAAAAGCAATGAAATTCTGATATATGTTTGAAGACATTACACCAAGTGAAATTAATCTAATGCAAAAGAACAAATGTTCTACAATTCCACTTATATGAGGTACCTCAAATAGTCAAATTCATAGAGACAGCAAGTAGAATAGTGGTTGCCAGGGCTGGGCAAGTGGGGAATAGAGAGTTATTGCTTAATTGGGACAGAGACTCAATTTGGGAAGATGAAAAAGTTCTAGAGATGGATAGTTGTGGGGGGCCACTGGCAAGCACCTCGGGCGTTTTAAAATATGTTGGCTGAATCCAGGGTGCAGGCAAAGCCACTCCCTGGAGGCAGTCCTAGCCAAGAGGCAAGGACAAAGACTCAGTCTGACTTTTCCAGCCCAGGTGCTAGGGGGTGGATCACATTATGTCGCCAGAAACTCAAGGCCCACCCAGATGTGATGAAACTTCCTATTACTTTGAGTATATATTAAACTTACTTCCCGTGTCGGTGGCTCTGTTCATCTATCAGAGGCAGACGCCACACCAGGCCCAGCTTCTCCCTCTGTTTCTGTCTCAGTCTCGTTTTCATTCTTCCTTAACCCTCATCGGGTTCTACTCAAGATTTCTCGAACCCCCGCATTCTCCCTTTCGGCGCTGGTCGCGGGAAGAGAGAACGTACCGCCATAGATAGTGATGATGGTTGCACAACAATGCGAATGTACTTAATGCCACTAAACTGTACACTTAAAATCGTTAAAATGGTAAATTTTATGTTATGTATATTTTGCCACAATAAAAAAATAACTCCACTTTAAAAAAAAGAGAGAGAGAATCCAACAAATTGATGAATTTCAGAGGGTGCTGTGTGTCAGGTACAAGTGTGAGGTACCAGGAAAGGAGAATGGAAAGTTCCACTCTTTTTTCATTTACATAAAGTCAAATAACAGGCAGAAGTAATCCATGCTGCTAGAAGTCAAGATAATGGCATCTGTTGGGGGATGGAGAGAGGAGTGACATACAGGTATGGGGGTGGGGGGGTTGCTAAAATGTCTCCTTCCTGATGTGGGTGCTGGTTGAATGGACATGTTCATTTTGTGAAAATTCATTCAAATGTATACTCATGATTTGTGCTCATTTCTCTATATGATACTTCAATAAAAAATTAATGTAAAAATTCCCTATGGCCACCTCCATCATCTCTTCTAAATTGACAATAAAAGCATAAGTCAATTGAGGCCTAATTTGGAGGCATCACTTTCAGAGAAATGCCTATCATACCAGAGACTCTTTGGATTTCAAAGAAGAAACACCACTCATGCTAACTTCATACAAGGGGGCATTATTGAAAGGATACTGGGAGATCTTACCAGTCTGAAGGGCAGGAAGTACTACTGTCCTGAGGGGGAATCTGGACATTGGCAAGATGTATGCTTTGGCTTGTGCCTACATTGATTATGACATAGTATGCAAATATCTATTTCAACCATTTTATGAAAGGGACCACGTAACAAGCATTGTGCTAGGAACATCACATTCATTTAGTGCTCAGACTGCTCCCTCACATACGTGGTAGTAATATTATCCTTTTACAGACGAGTCAACTGGTTCTCAGACCAATCCAGTCATTTTCCCAAGCACACAAAGAGGCGGGGAAGGCCTGGATGTCAAAGTTCTTCCCACCAAGGCAGTGCCTTGTATTAAGGAATGTATCCCATACTCTGTTCTGTCCCTCACTATTCCCCATCTACCCCAAATGGGCATCCTGTTGAAGAACCACGGCTAAAGCCAGTCTTGCCCCTGGGGCCAGAGAATCCATCACCCGCTGCTGTGGGAGGGAGACTGGCTCTGCACACCAGCTTCAGCAAGGGAGGAGAGAACCACCCAAAGCTGGAACTGTAGCGGGGCTGGTCAGCCAGTCCCGTCCAGTCGAGGTTCCCCCATCTCCTTTTATCAGGGTCTTGGGTGCGACGTGTAAGGACGGGAATCCGACGGCGAGAGCCCTCTTCCCTGGACCCAGCAGATCTGGCTGGATCCGGGCTCCAAGGCCACCCCCTCCAGAGTCCGAAACTGGAAGACCTGGGGGGAGTCTCTGGTGACTCCACCCAGGGCTGAGCAAAGCCTGGCACCCACCCCTCACCATGAACTCGGCCTGGGCGCCGGTCCTGGGCGCCCGTCCAGGTCTCAGCCCGCTCCGCGGCGGGAGCGCTGTTGAGCACCGCTCGCTGCCACCAGCGCCTGGACCGAGAGCAGCAAGGCACCTGGAGGTGTGCCGCCTCCGAGCACCCTAGACGCTAGCCTTGAGGTTGAGAGAGGAGCGGTTGGGGTAAATCCTAGGAGCCACCGTCAGTCCGGTCGAATCATCCCGATTTGTAACTAAAGAGTGGTCCAGGTGCCGAAAGACATCTCCCGCAGGCAGCTCTGGTCCTCGGAGCCCAGGCTGCCCGGTGGGCGAATACAGCCGAGTTTCGTCCCGATCAGCAGCAGCCTCGCCCCTCTGGCCCTCCCGGGCACTGAAGTGAGTCCAGCCTCCTGCTCAGCCCTCCTGGGCAGCGGAGGGACGAATCCCGGCTGCTCTGAGGATCCGACTGGACCTGGGCAGCCTCTTCCGCTGCTCCTGGGTCTGGCCCCCCGCGCGCCCCCACACGTCCCTTTTGTTTCTGAGCTTGCTCTGAAAGTGATGTAACGCGGACAGGCTCGCGCTCGCTGCCCCTCTTTCCCACACTAAGTCCTCCCCCCTCCTTTCCTCCTTCCCTCCCACGCCTGGAAGTCCGCGCGCAGAGCCAGCACCGCCGCCAGAGCTTCCAGAGCTTGGGGACCGCGACCCGCACTGTTGGGAAAGACAGGCTTCCACGTCCCACTTCCTGGTTGTCAGGAGGAAAAGCCAGGCTCTCCTCCCAGGAACAAGGGAGAGAGTCGAGGGCACAGCTGCTGTGGAGGTTCCTAAGGAGACTCCGACTGGCTTCTTTCCCTGCTCCCAGGAGACTGGAGACAGGAGGAAACCTCAGGTACCTCAGTGACCCCCGCCGGTGGACGTTTATATGAAAGACTGAGGTTAAAATAGTAAAGACACAGACAGATAGACGGACAAAGAGCAACAGAAACAGGGCAAGAGATAAAGAGAGGCAGAGACCAAGATTGTCAGACAGGTGGAGAGAGACCAAGAGTAAGAGACGGAGTTAGTTGGTGGGTGGGAAGTGGACTTGGGGATTTCTTTTAACCCGCTGTGGTTTCCTCTGTGACGGAAGACAGCGGAGCTGCTCCCTGGCCAGCAAGAAGCCCCAACCTGGATGAGTGAAAGATGCGGCCTGATGACATTAACCCGAGGACGGGGCTGGTGGTGGCTCTGGTCAGTGTCTTCCTGGTCTTTGGCTTCATGTTCACTGTCTCGGGGATGAAAGGAGAGACTCTGGGAAACATACCCCTCCTGGCCATCGGACCAGCCATCTGCCTGCCAGGCATTGCGGCCATTGCCCTGGCCAGGAAAACTGAGGGGTGCACCAAGTGGCCCGAAAATGAGCTGCTCTGGGTCCGAAAGTTGCCCTGCTTCCGGAAACCCAAGGACAAGGAGGTGGTGGAGCTGCTGAGGACCCCTTCGGACCTGGAGTCAGGCAAGGGAAGCTCCGATGAGCTGGCTAAGAAGGCAGGCCTCCGGGGGAAGCTGCCCTCCCAGGGGCAGGCCGAGGTGCCTGTGGCCAGCTCTATCACTACTCCCACCCCCACAGGAGAAGGAGAATGCCAGAGCCTGGTCCAGAGCGGGCAGCAGGAGGAGACTTCCAGATACCTGGACGGCTACTGTCCCTCCGGCAGTTCCCTCACCTACAGTGCCTTGGATGCCAAGTGCTCAGCCTGGGACAGGTCCGAGTGCCCCGAGCCAGAGGACAGCATCTTCTTTGTGCCCCAGGACAGTATCATCGTTTGCTCCTATAAGCAGAACAGTCCCTATGACAGATACTGTTGTTACATCAATCAGAGCCAAGGCAGGTGGGACCACGAGACGATAGTCTAAGCTTTGCATACAAGGGTCGCTGTGCTGATAGAAACATGACTACACTCAGCTCCCGATGGAAGGAAACTGCCCGCTCCAACAGCCTTCACACTGTTAGAGATTGACCTGGTATGTGATGGGTGTGCAAACGTCTGGTGCCTGAGAGCCATGTAAATAGGCATGTTGGGGACACATTTTAGGGAGGGGTGGTGAGTGTTAAGGACACTGGAAGAGGCAATGGGTAGGAGAGGAAGCAGTTCCAGTTACTTTTTAACAATTTAAACAATGTTGGATGTTTCGTAAATAACCCAACAAGTGCCACTCAGTACCTGCTGAAAGCAAGGCAAATCTTGAGTGGGCTGCAAAAAAAAAGGCTATTCATAGGGACCCTGAGTTGCTTTAGGTCTGAAAAAGATTGAAAGAAGAAAAAAACAATGCTTCATTATAAGAAATAATTATCTACTGAAAGCCTTTCACACTTAGTATTTGTTAAAAGAAGAAAAAATCAGGACAGAAAAGCTGCATCCCTCCTTAGGTAGGATGGTTTCTGGAGAAAGGAGAGTTAAAGACAGTTGAATTATGTCATTGAGTTTTATGATATCTTATGACAAGATCAGGAATTTCAAATAAAGTAAAGTAAATGTGACCGGCTATGTGAAAAACTAACATTTTTAGATGGCTATGTTACTTATTAAATTCTTCACTTAAAGTGACTTACTGGTCTTTATCTGAAGTGTTTTCTAACATTTACTACCATTCATGTATAATTTCCTCATCAGGTGCAAAATGACTTAATGTAATATTTTCATAGATCAGAAATTGTTTTCATCCAGTCAAAATGGATTCTGCATATGTATACAAGTGTCTTTAACATTTTGGGAAAACATGTACTGGTGATTACTATTCTTATATGCCTTTTAAAATCTAAAGACTGTGAAGTCAATACCTTAGTCTTGAACTTTATGCAGAATTTATATGTGCAATGATTAAACTTCTGGAAATGTCAGAAATGTCATTATTTGTACTTTTGTTCAGCATTCCCAAAGACAGTAAGTGCCAATGAAATGAGAGTTAATCTACTAGGATTAACCAAAGCCCAGTTTTTATTAAGCTCATCTGATCAGTAAACATTACATGGCAAAGGTCTGCTTTATTTCATGTTTAATCTTTTGCTGCTGAGGAAAAAAATCACAATGGGGCCCTAAAAAGTATTTCCTCTTTCATTTGATCAACTGTAATAGACAAGAGGTCAATCAGCCAGAATAGTATCTGTTCCAGTTGAAGAGAAATATTGAGTTATATATAGAAATGATGGTATATTTAATCTTGAAGATCAGAATAATTTTGCACCCTTTAAGGAATGATGATTTCTTTTTATTTTTTTTTTCATTTTTTTTTTTCAGGGCTTAGGGGGTGATTTCTTTTTAAATGTCAGATAGTTTCGGGCACTTTTTGCCAAAAGGGGAATTGAGGACAAAAAGTTTGGGTATATCTCTTTTGTGTATTTCAGGTCCAACTCTGTAATTCTCTAAGTATGGCAATTATTCTTGTTTTTAAACATCATGCCCTTAAAAATCACAATTTTCTAGTCAAATGCAACATCAAAAGTATGTAATTGTTTTTTGGTAGGGTTTAAATGTCAGCAAATGTGGTCGGTGATCCTGGGCAAATTTTATCTTCTCACACCTCTGTTCCCTGAGAAGGAAGGAGTGGGACTGACTGACACTATGTTACCTCTGAGTTCATTCCAGGTTGAATATCCTATGGTGTTGTGGCAAAGGCACTTTATATATTGCCATGAAATGAGTTACAGCAAAATGCAGGCCAAAGTTATGCAATTCATGATTACTAATATGTGACATGGATTGAATTCTTGCTACTACTAAAAAGAATTTTATAAATGTGTGAAAGCAGATTTGTTTTATTACCAAATATTTTTTTATTCAGCAAAATACATTTCTGGGAATAAAATGAAGATAGTCATAGTATAATATTTTTGAGGAGAAATTTTTAAATATTGGATCCCTAAGTAATCTAACACATACCCTTATACTAAATGTAATTTATTTTGGATTTGGCATGGAGGGAAAATAGTTTCCTAAAATCACAATACCTCTTGATAATTCGAATGCATTTTGAAAAAGGAAAATGATATATTGAAGGAGGTGAAATTCTTTCTTGATTCCAAAGTGTAAATTCAGCCAAGATACCCAAGCTGGAGCATATTTAGACAATTGTTTCAAGACTTAGTCTCTATTGCGATTACCATGGTAATCAAAATTCAGATAGAGTTCAGTTCAGGCTCTCTTCCAAACCTTGCTAACCAGTTCCTTTGAAAATGTTTTCAATTCTATGGATCTTAATACCCATTGATCTGGCAAATATGGGAAGAAATATTTATTCTTTTAAATGTGTTTTCCCTTTTGATAATATCCAACCTCTAATTGTTTGTTAATATCTCCCCTCTACACCTACAGCATCATTTATTTGGTGAACTCACTGTTACTAATTCTTCTATATTGAAGAAAATATTTTTGAAAATCCACAGTCCCACTATCCTAATAGAACTATAGTATTTCCATTTTAGCACATTATCTTCCAGGCCTCCTCCATATGCATATGTACCTTACCTATTATAATCATGTGTTTTTCTTTAATATTTTTATTATATCCTAAGTATGTTTTCATGTTTTTATGCAGTGTCTCTAATTATCATTTAACAATTGTGTAATATGCTATTTAGTGATGTACCATGATTTGTCATGCCATACCTTATTGCTAGTCAGATATCGTGTTTTATGGATGGTTTCATATGGGGTTTTTTTTTTTTGTTGTTTGGTAACACAGCTACATTAGTTGCTATTTGCCCAGAGAGGTAAAAATTTACAATTGAAAAAGCTGTATCTTTATAGATGAGAATGAGGGGGCAGAAATGTGTAAATGGATAAAACACTCAATATTGTTGGTTTTCTCTTCATTCATGTAGATGCAAGATGTAGGGTAAGAAACAAAACTATGCTTCTTCAAAACAGTCCCCCATTGGGACCAGAGCCAGTATTTTTAAGAGTAAGAATAAGATGAGACCGTTCCCCAGTCAACATCACAATACCTCTTGATAATTCGAATGCATTTTGAAAGAGGGAAATGATATGTTGAAGGAGGTGAAATTGTTTCTTGATTCCAAAGTGTAAATTCAGCCAAGATACCCAAGCTGGAGCATATTCAGACAATTGTTTGCATCACCAATTTGCATCTCAAAATCATATTACAGTGGTATCCATCTTCAAGAGCTTAAGGTTGAATAAACAAAATGAAAATAGAAATAGATAATAATAATTACTTTGTAATATTTCAAAAGCATCTTCTTAAAGTATCTCACCATATATTTTATACTTAATATGTATGTAAATTGTTATCTATTAGTGACTTACAACTGAACTAGAATTTCAGGAATTCAATAGACTCTACCCATGAGTTTTCTATGTTTCAGTTCCTCACTGGAAAAACTAAACTGAAGATGGAGATGTAGACAAATGCTTGCCTCAACCAAATATCTCAATAAAGGATTGAATTCCACTCAGCCTCTTGTCCAGATAATATAAAATCACATAAACACAATTAAATCAGAGATCACTTACTTGATTTATCACTGCCCACCACAGAGTCCTCACTCCATGGACACCCAAAAGAAAGAAGTTTATACGTGATTCTGTCCAGATACACAAATAGGAGGGCACCGACATTAATCTCCATAGTCTAGCAATTTATTCCTGGACCTGACCCTTGTTAGGGATTCTTTCTTTACTTTTTCCTTTATTCCTCCTCCTGGCCCCACGTTAGAGCGTGCAACCTCAGTGTCCCCAGTGACAGCACACGCCTTTGCATGCTTTACTCCTAATAATACAGTTACAAAATTGGCTGGTTACAAAATAGATATAAAGCTATTAAACATCTTTTTGCTATTCTTTAACAAATCCATCCCTAGAAAGTTAAATATAATGACATTTTTGTAGTTAATCACTTTCTTATTCTTCATGGTAATGAACCATTGTATGTGAGACAGGTAGTTCTTCAGTCTGAGGCAAGACCACATTTGTTTAGAAGAATTAGGCTTTTGAAAATCACCTGCCTGTAATTCAACATGGAAATATGAACAATTACCTTCTATGTAAGTGATGAGATCATCGCACCTACTCAAAAAAGACCACCTGCCCCTCCCACCCTCTGCAGCAACTTCTCGGCTCTTCCATGACTGTGCCCTGCAGCTGACCATCCTGAACCTTTGGCCAACCATGTTCTCTGCCTCAAATGCATACTGTCTTCACCCCCCTGCTGCTAAATGCCCTAACATCCTTCAAGTGGAAGCTGCCACATCTTCCATAATTTTTTAGCTTTTCCCACTCAGACTGAATACTTCTGTCACACTGGGGTCAGATGACACCTCCACCATCATTGCACGTATTAGTTGAGTACGTATCTGCCTTTCTAACTACAGCTCTTTGAGGGCAGGGGCCACATTTTATTCATCTTTCCACCCCATCCTCCCTCCCTACACACATACACACACACACACACACACACACACACACACACACACACTCTTCCATGCTCAGTGAAAACTCTAAATTGCACCATTTGGGTCATCCTCAAAGCCTACTCGCTTCCATTTCCTCCTTCTGGCATGAAAAGAAAACTCTGCCTTGTTGATGTGAACAAAATTAAATTGAATATAGTCAGCAACAAAGTGGGTTAAAGTAGGCTTGTGGTTTGAGACCCTAACTTTTATTTAGCATCTTGTTTCTTTGGGGAAACCACATCTTACATAAGAAGAAGAAAGCAATGAATCTTTCCAGAACATTTTCTCTTCCCTCCATGAGTGACCTAACTCCTGCTCCCTGCTTCCCTCTATGAGCCAGTGGCAGTTCTTTAAAAAAAAAATGAGAACTTGGATCTACATAAAGAAAGGAAAAACTGCCCAGCCAGTGTGTCTCAGTGGTTGAGCATCAACCTATGAATCATGAGATCACGGTTTGATTTCCATGGGCACATGACTGGGTTGTGGGCTAGGTCTCCAGTAGGGGCATGCAGAAAGCAGCTGGTCAATGATTCTCTCTCATCATTGATGTTTCTACCTCTCCCCAACCTCTTCTTCTCTAAAATCAATAAAAATAGATTTTTAAAAAACAGAGCATCTGAATAGGCCTATATCTATTTTAAAAATTGAATTAGTAATTAATAAC